CCTCCCTCCCTCCCTCCCTCCCTCCCTCCCAGTATCTTGGCTCTTGATCAGCTTTCAGAGTGATACTGGGATTCCAAGTCAGTAGAACTGGTAGGATAAACTAACTACTATCTCTCTTTCTCTTGTTGTTCCTTTTCCTTTCCCCTTGTAAATAAACCCATTATTGACACTTTTTGTGTGTATATGCAGTACAATTGAATTTGAAGTGCACAGGTGAGGTCCCACAGACAGTGTGAACTGGGTTGCTTTGTAACCTATTGTTAGTGATATTTGTAAATGACCATATTATCTAGCAGGTATAACACAGTAAACTGCTATCCATTAGATACTACATCAACTCTGATTCCTGAGTAACTTTGCCTCATAAACTTAAAGGAATTTTATAAGGTATAGATATTTGGGTTTCTTAGGAAAGCCCGAAAAAAAAAAAGTGAAAAGGGCATACTTGTCTGAAATAAAAATTTGAAAAGGGTAAGAAGCCAGCTAGGGCAAAGTTTAGCCAAAATTGAGGCTGAAATAACATTGAAGAACATGAGTGCTTCACAATTATGTCACATTTTACACTTTTCTTTTTACAGTAAATATTAAAGTTAGATAAATAACTGATGTTATCTATTTATAGTATTTCCACAAAGTTCTTCCAGTTCTCATGTCTGAATGTATATTTTATATCCACAACTCTTGTTCCAGACAAAGCTATCATTATTTCACATTCAAGGAGTTACATGATCAGGATGTGACTTCCCTCTTCCCTCATGTCCTATAAATCCCCATAAGAAAACTGTACAACAACTGCACCAATATATACTAGTTGTGTGGGGAATAATAATTTTTATATTGTTTCACTTTTCATTAATCACAAGTAGGTTCCCCCTCCATACTCTGATAACTTTATTTATCTGTTTCAAGTCCTTCAGAATTTACTGCTTTTTCTTGAAATCTAACTATCACATCCCTATCTACCACAGGTCCAGACAAATATTGGTCATTTATCACACTGATCCATTTATGGCTAACTAGCTTTTCTTTCCCCTGTTGTTCTGTGAGTTCCTTGAGATTAAGGATAATTATGTCCTTGACTTTGTCTGTACAGCAGACTGCTGCCTGTAACAGAGTAAACATGTGATAAATGAATAATGCCATATGGAATATTAAGTACAGATTCATCTACAAATATTTTTTCCAAAATTGTTACATGATATAACTTAGGATATGTCCAAAGACAATGAATGAAAGAAAAAAGAAAAAGCTAAATCAGAATCTCAATCCCTTCCCTCACATGTGACTGGCAGAAGAAACTTCTAGATGCCCCTGACTCTTGCCCTGAGATGCTGACCAGGCTTTTCTGGGCATACTTATGAGAGGGAAGTTAAATTCTTGTCTCTTGATATGTGATAGGTTACTTGAAACCCTGTATATAATTTAAATGCTGACACCTTCATAGAAGTTACTTGTCAAAAAAGTGGTAGAAGATGGGACTTTTTCATTTTTTCTAAAGGAAATAGAAAGGGTTGTGTAAGGTCAATGAAGATCACTCAGATTTTTGCACTGTTGGCCTTCATGGCTATCATCTGCAGCCTCCAACACAGGAGGCATTTGGGTGGTAATTGGGGTATGCCTGATAGTGGACACATAGAGTATGGTGTGGACATTTGTAAGTGGGTGAACCTGAGCCAGGAGGCTGAGCATAATGGGCAGTGTCACAGAGGACAGTGCAGCAGTGTGACAGACAATGGCAGGATGACTGTGAAAGGAAGAGACCATGAGGCAATGCCACAGAGAGCCCAAAGAGTGGAGATCCATTAGGAGCTAGGTGCCCTGCCAGCATCCTGGCTTTCCAGGCCCACTGATATGCTCTACTGCCTTGTTGGCATAACAGATTGCTAAATATACTGTATATTCTATGTTGATAATTATTAGAGAACCAGAGCAGAAAGAAAGGATGTTCTGAAGAGTTTCTATGAATACAGATGAGATGATGACATTAAATTAACAGAGAATGGGCTCAAAGATTAATGAACTAGTGAGCAGGTCAAAGGAAGAGGATGGTTGGTTCTGAGTAGGAGAGGTTATCAGTAGAAAGTCCTGGAGAAGAGCTATATAGGCCTTTACTTTTTGGATAAGGTAACCTGATTTTCTCAATCTTAGGTGATATGATGTCATTCCACACCACATCCCCTTATAAATCCCTGGTCAGTTCCCTGGGAAAGGAAGACACTGAGATAATATTCAATAGGAAAGGAGATATATGATAAGGGGAAAAAAAACACAATAAGCAAACATAAGCAAAGAAAGAACATAAGCAAAAAGAAAGTGAAAATTTAAAGGAACAAAGAAAAACACTTCCTCTCAGAAACACTTTAAATGTCACATCAACTTTGCAGGTTATGTACAGTGAATGAACATTGTTTGCGCTTACATCTATTCATCTATAAATTTCTAATGGCACGCACAGTGAAAGGAACTTAATGAATCAAAAAAATTAGTGGATCTAAACTGCTGAGTGTAGAGAATTCTGAATGTTTTCTGAACAACGCCATATAACCCTTCCACATATAACTCCCAAGTAGGTGCTAGTTTCTGATTGCCTCTCCTCAAAGTTCTTTTGATTTAATCTACTCAGCTGCTACTCAAGTAGCAGATATGAAAGGGTGAATGATAAAAGAGACACAGCCTCCAACTAGGACCCAGTTATGTTTGATTTGGAAGTGTCCAAGATGCAGAGATGGAGGTCACTGCAGCATGGGGGGGGGGGGAAGAGATGGAGAAAACCCATCCTACTGCAAACTAACCTGATTTCACACATTTCACCATTATAAGATTAGGAAGAGGTACCCAGGTAATGTGTCCATGGCTCAAGAAGCTCTCTAGTGTTCTGAAGAGGTGACCCATCTAATAGAACCCAAGGGGGGGGGGCGGTGAACATTTGGTTCTTTTTCACTGAACTGGGGTTTCATTTAAAATAGTCCCTGCTGTTATGAATTTAGAGAGTGAAGGAAAACTCTTAAAATAAATTTCAGCTGGTTGAGAGCAGCTTCACATAGGAATTCTTAATTATAATTGTGCTTGCTTCTTCAAGCACAATTAGAAAAGCAAAACCAAAGAATGCCTTAAATTCAGACAAAAGTGTTTTTAGAAATGTCCTGTGCACATTTCCATTATCAATAGAGTGAAAAACTAGCAGTTCACCTGGAAGACAAAGGAAAAGTAGATGTAATGGTCATGGGAATTTAAAAATAGATTTATTTTACAAAAGGATTTTGGTATAGGATAGTTAGAGAGTGGCTGGTCTCAGATATATGGAGTTCAAATTTTGCATCTGTCACTTAATAGATATGTGTGATCTTGGGAAAATAACTGCACCATTCTTTAACTTTAAAAATGCAAATGTGAAAATGTAAAAACACATTATGAAATTAATAGATTGTTGTCAAAATGAAATGGATGCTCAATAAATAGACCTCTCCCTTGCTGTATTTTTATTGACAGTAAAAGTGTAGTTGATGACTGAAACATCAATGGGAAATGGATGAGAAAGAAGCAGTTTATATATAGAATCTAATCTCCCACACTCTCTAAAAACCTGCATTCCACACAACATAGAAACACTGACTAAGTCACAAGGCTAAATATTCCATTATGTTCCTTTGTTTAAAATGGAATGTTCAGAACATGAGGAGGTGATGATGTGAAAATGAGCTTTATGTTGCAAACCTCAGTAATATCCTCAAAATACTGAAACTGGCAACTTTCAACGTTAAAAACAATCACAGTCATTAGAAAACCCTAGTTTGTATTGAATTTTTCATTCAGGCCCTTCTCTCAGGGGAAATTTTATGCATCAATTAAAATGTACTTTCACCACAACCAAAGCAAGATTGTCATGCCTATTACCATTCATCCTTGTCAGCGTCACAATTGCAGAAGTGCCGAATGTCCAGGCAACTCTCGTCCAGGCCACACTCACACTGCTGGATTCCAGGAGGGGCTCCACCCCAGTAAGGGTGCCTTTCATTGGACCGCCCAATCCACCAGGTGAATGGTGTTCCATCTGAAAGACAAGATATTTTGTAATCAGAGAGGAGTCAGCTTAAGCTAGCACAGAAGAATCACAGAAACTGATGATAATGTTTTGTAATATATACTATTGGTATGTACACTATATGCCATATATAGTCTATGTGGGGGTGTGACACCCCCCCTACACACATATATCCCCCCCTTTCTTATCACTTTTCATTTTTTTTTACTTTTATCTTTTTCTTTTTCCTTTCTTCTTTTCCCCTTCCCTTCCACACTCCTTTCTCTTTCACAATCCTTCTGGACATACATATAAAAATATCAAAACCTATTTATGCATCTCTCTATCTATCTATATGCATCTATCTATAAGCATACTCATAGAAAGTATTAATTAATCACAATGTTCAGAGACACGGTGACTAACAAATAATTAATGCACTACTCAGATATCAGAAGGGTGTAAAGTTAATCAAAATTTGGTGATTATAGATAGAAAGATATATAGATACATACAAATCCATACAGACAAACTATAGGCACACTTATTAACTTCCCTTTAAAGGTACTTGTAGGGTAAATGGAAGTGATCATGTTTTTTCCACCCTCTCGACATTTGCATCAATGATCCACCCCTGGGCCTTACTTGTGCCTGCTGGCGGCTCCTACAGAGTGGTGTTGCGTGGGTAAGTGGGCACACGTGAGCATATAAGGGTGGCAGCAGAGGAAACAAGGAGGCAGAGGACTCTACAACAGGGTGCAGCAGAGTCCAGGAGAGAATCCCAGAGAGTCCAGAAAGAGTGAAAATCTGCTGGGGGGCTAAGGGTCCTGCCAGCTTCCCAGCCCCTTGCCCCCTGCCTGCCCTGCACCTGTTTGCCTTCACTACACATGGTGTAGAAGAATCATTAAAAGCCCAAAAAAAAAGCCACTGAGGCCTCCAGGACTCTCCTTTATCCATCTTCCTGGAACATAGAAAACCTGCGTTGTGCCTTGCTGGCACTTCAGAACTCAAGAAAAATCTACCACCTGAGCACCAATACCAACCTGACTTCAGTCCTTAGTCCCAGGTACAGTATGTGGAGCGGTGGTGTTGGGCCTGCCAGAAAGCACAGTTTTCTCAGGTTTTTTTTTTTTTTTTTTTTTTGCCATGACCTTCCAGCACATGTGGCCTAGCCGATAAATGTAGCCTTGAGATGCAGGTCTCATGTGTGGAAAGTAATAATGATAGAGTTCACATGTGCAAAAACTTGCTCCTATAAACCAGGTCTAAAATTGGCCCTGTGCTGGCTTTGTTTATAAAACATATAAACACTAATAGGGCTTTTCTGTAACAGGAGTGGGAACTCTCACAGCTTCTCACTGTCCTCTCACTGTCCACTCATGGGGTACAGGACCATTGTTGGGTCAAGGGCCCAGGGGGCTGCCACTGCTGGTCACTGCCAATGTTGCCACCTGTGTGTGTCCTCCCTCATAATACTTGTTCTTGCTCCCCACACATGGGCTTCATTCTTATTTTCTCACCTGCCACCATTAAGAACCAGGCAAACTTGTAGCTGAGGATTGGGACCAAAGTTTGGGAATCCCTAATTCCCATTTATTTTTGTCATGACAAAAATTAGCCCCACAGTTACCATACATCTGGAAATTTTTTATGAGAATTGATATCTTCAATTTTAATGATTTAGAGGAAAACAATATTGTGAAAGTCTATGCATGAGCCAAAGAAATCCTTTAGATGGTCATTGTTAATCCACAGTGGTCTGATACATAATTCCTGACCTATATAGCTGATGGAAACTGATTCTTGTTCCTGTCAATTTATTTCTTTGCAATGTTTAGTTTAGTAAAATTGAATTTTATTTTATGAATGGAATAAATAGATTAGACATTCAGAAAATTTCCATATATTAGTTATGACATGGAGATGTCATCCATGCCTAAGCTGAATGGATTTAGGCCTAGGCTTCCTTTGGAAATGGCTATTTTGTTTTTTACCTTTTTCTTTTTAATTAAGGTAACCTTAGTTTACACCGCTGTACTTAATTTAGGAAGAGAGGTCCATACTTGTCAGATGTCTGTCACTACACTTCAAACCATCAAAATACCTATAGCCCTTTACCACAGACCATTGAACCCCTCCTCACTCCCCCCCTCCACCTTTCCTATCTTCCTTCTCTAATAACCTCAATTCTATAGTTCAATTTCTAAGGTTTTTTGGGTTTAGTTTTGTCAGTTCCTTTTTTGTCTAGGTATATGATGTGAATGACAAACCCTTATATTTGCTGTTTTGCTTCTGTTTGTCATAAAACCAGTACTTAATGTGTATTTATTATAAAAAAAATGAAAAAAAAAGGAGCAAGTTTTCATGACTTATCATTTTAAAATAGAAAAATATTTGTCTGAGGATGGTTATAGGTTAGAATTTTGCCTAGTCAAGATTTAATTTTGCATGTGTCTCATGATTCACAGACACATAATTTACAAATGATCTGTATATACAAATAACAGCAACTTTCTCTAAATTGTTCTCACATTACACACTCCTGGAAGTCACTGTAGCAAAAAATAATAAAAAAAGATAACCTGGAGCTTCCAAAATCTGTAGGCCATGAGAGAAAGATAAGACAGATATTAGGAAAAGCAGAAGTATCTTAGAGGAGCTAATTCAGGGGTCAGATATCCTAAGGACTATACTTATCCCAAAAGATCAGTTTTTACATTGCCTAAAATGTTTCAGATCCCTTTATAAACTTTTAAGCAAGAATTCCTGTTTAAGCTACATTTAAAGAGGAATTAGAGATATTAACTATTAACTAGTACCTTTTTTGTAAAGAGTAATTCTACATGGTAAAAGCCCATTTTCTCTAGTCCTAAGTAACTCCATATAAGTGTGCGCATTCAAATGGATGAATTTATTTCTAAATCATAACTTGTATAAACCACATGCTTGCTCTTAAGAGTTTACTGTTTCATTTACAGCATTAAAAACTTTCAGAACTATGTAAATTTAGGTAGATTGTCTGAGTGTGAAAGTTCAGACAACACACAGGTAAGACATTGTGCTTTTGGATATGTTAGCCAGTGTTGGCTCTGGAGCCAAGGAATGGAAAGAAATATCCATCATTTTCCTTAAGGCTTGTCCAAGACTTCTCTTCCCAAAATCTAGAATCCAGATTACACAGTAAAGTTCAATGTCATCACAGATAATTTTTATCTGTGAACTAAAGCAAGGTTGTAACATATGAATAGCGCCTTTAATGAATTCTGAACAGTCACTTAAACAACTAAAAGTTCAATTAGAAGCCTTAGACTTTATTTTGTTTTTAATCTGTCTTTTATCACTGAATCTTGGGAACCCTAGTCATGTCTGGCAATTAGTATGAAGGCTACAAATTGCTTGAGTGATTGTCAATGAGCAAGTAAAAAGGGAAGATAAAACAAAAGTACCCACACACACTTGGAAATATGGTGCTGCTAAGTTTTCCTCAAATGGTCCATCTTTGTGATTCCTTCTCCATGGAATAGTAATAGAAAATTAAAAAATTGGAAAACTGAGTTTGCAGACATTCCTGAATTCATAATGGAGCCAGTAAGAGCATCTGTACTTATTATAACTGTAAATTTGGGCTACTGGAGATCTTGAAATTATTTTCTCTTGACAGAATATTATTATTATTATTATTTAGATGAATGAATATATGCATTAACTTAACATACATTTACTGAAAATCTACCATCTTCAAGTAACTATTCTAGTCACTTAGGATGAATCATTAATACAAATCAAAACAAATATACAGACAGTTAATGCCCACGAATAATTTACCTGGTAATTATGGGAAACAGTGGATAACTATAATTAAGAAATAAGGCTTTTAGAAGGTATACAAAGTATGGAAATAATAAAGTAGGCCAAGGAAAACAGGTATGCTGGGGATAAGGGCATGTTGCAAATATAACTAGAGTGGTCAGGGCAAAAGTCAAGAAAAAGATAAACCCGGAGCAAAACTTGAAGGTAGGAAAGGGACAGTAACACGTGACTGGTCCTCTGGAGAAGAGTAGAGCTGACAAAGGAAATGGTCAAAAGGCCTGAGAGTAAATTTATGCACATTTGAAAAATTAACAACGGATTCTTAAACTGTGATTTTGAAAATGCTGAAGAAGTACTAGAAGGAAGGTTTCACAAAATAAAAACAAGCAACAGAAAACAGGCAAAACAGACCTTTTTATTAATGGGCCTGTTAGTGACAAACCATGAAACCATTATGAATGTTCCAAGTCAAAAGGTATTTGTTAGGAAAACACTAGGATGTTCCAGAATCTTAAGGATGTAAGAACGGGACTTTTAATAAAGCTAATGGGCAGAATACACCTTCCTTTATAATAAGGGCTACTGAGCCAGTTTTGATGTATCATAGGCCACCTAAAAGTTTTCTTTGGAGAAGTGTCTACTAAAGTCTTTTTTTTTTTTTTCTTTTCTTTTTAAGATTTATTCGTACAGAACTGGGGTACAGGCCAGAGATGCGGAGGGTGAGAGGATTCACTAGAGACAGAGTGGGGTGCAGAACAGGCAAATCAATGAAGTACACCGCTGAGGGGAGAAGCTGGCAGGTCAGGAGAGAACTGCCACGCCACGTGGTCACCTCCGGGGAAGGCGGGGATCAAACTCTAGTGGAAGTGGTTTAAGCTTCTCTGTGCTGTTCTTTAACCCGCTGCCCCACCAGGGAGGGCCTTTTGTTTATTTTTCAACTGAGTTGTTTATGTTGTTATTGACATGTGAATTCTTTATATATTTTGGGAATAAACCCTGTGTTTGACATGTGATGTACATTTGCACATTATGTTCTCCTAATCCAAAGGCTGTATTTTTGTTGTTTTTGTGGTGGTCTCTTTGGTGGTGCAAACATTTACTGGTTTTATGTTGTCCTATGTTTTTATTTTTGTTTTTTGTTCTTTCCCCTTGTTGGAATCATGTCCCTAAATTTTTACTCAGAGGGTAGCACCTATGTTTTATATATTGTATATAGCTTC